TTTTTGAGGTGTGATACACTTTAGAATTACAAGGAAAAACACTAGAATGAAAAGACATGACAAGGGTTTGGCTTGTCATGGGCATGCGGCCATGGGCAACATGCCCTGGACAAGCATGACCGTGACATCCTCCCCCACCTAATTGGTTGACGTCCCTGTCAACCGACTACTTTTATACCTTGCGATGTGGGTGGCGGCGGAGTTCAGATCTTCGGCGCGTTCCCAACTTGTTTCCTCTGTAGGGAGATTCTTCCATTTGACAAGGAATTCACGAATCGTCCATACAGGTCTTCCTATCTTCCTAACCCTGTCGGCTAGGATCTCTTCCACTTCCTTTGTTTCTTTTTGCTTCAGATCGATGTTCGGTCTTGTGGTTGCATTTCGTTGGTCGTCGTCTGGATCAGGGTGATAGGGCTTCAAGTTGCTCACATGAATGACGAGGTGGATTTTCATCCACGCGGGTAATGCAACTCGGTAGGAGGTAGCCCCGATCTTTTTAAGGACTTCGACCGGGCCTTCATATTTACGAACTAGTCTCTGGTCCTTTCGGCTACGAAATCTGATCTGTTCCGGTCTCAGCTTGATAAGGACTTGATCTCCTGCACGGAAATGAAGGGGGCGACGCTTCTTGTCCGCCCATTTCTTCATATGCTTGGAAGCCTTCTCTAAATATGCCCGGGCTATATCTGTTGTCTGCTTCCATTCCCTCGTAAAGTTGTGAGCTTGAGGGTTTTTTCCTGCATAAGGATGATCAATAATATGGGGTAAGGCCGGTTGTCGTCCACTTACAATTTCGAAGGGACTCTTCCCTGTAGATGAGCTGGTTTGACAATTGAAGCAAAATTGGGCGACATCTAACAATTGTATCCAGTTCTTTTGGCGAGCGTCGACGAAGTGACGTAAGTATTCTTCGAGTAAGCAATTGAACCGTTATGTCTGTCCATCGGTTTGAGGGTGATAACTCGAGGAGATGTTTAAGGTTGTTCCCAAGAAAGCGAATAACTCAGTCCAGAATGTCCCAATGAATCTGCCATCCCTATCACTGATGATGCTCGACGGAATGCCTCATAACTTTACAACGTGTTTGAAAAACAGTTGGGCTGTGAGTTCCGCCGAACATAATTTGGGAGTGGGGATGAATGTCGCATATTTGGAGAATCGGTCTACAATAACCAAGATGACGTCATATTCCCCGACCTTTGGGAGGTGTGTTATGAAGTCTAGAGATACACTTTCCCAGGGTCTTGTTGGCACAGGTAGAGGTTCCAAGAGTCCAGAGACTTTGGCTTTCTCGACCTTATCCTGTTGGCAGATGAGGCACGTCTTGGTGTATTGCATGATGTCGTCTCGCATGTTTGGCCAGAAGTACCCCTTCTTTATTAAGGCGTATGTTCTTTGCCACCCAGGATGTCCGGCCCACAAGGTATCATGACATTCCTGAATGAGCTTCTTCCTCAGTTCCCCTGTTCTTGGGACGTACAATCTGTTTCCTTTGGTTATCAGGAGGTCCCCCTCAACCCAAAACTGCCGTGTCTTTCCAGCCTTAGCTAGTTCGACAACAGCTTTGGCCGATGGGTCTTTGTGTAAATGTTCCTTGATGATGTCGCGCATCGATCCATCGATCTTACTTGAATGAATATGGGCTAACATGCACAGGGCCGCATGTTCGCCCTTCCGACTCAGCGCGTCGGCTGCTTGATTACTCTTTCCTGCTTTGTGTTCGAACTTGAAGTCGAATTCGGCCAACGACTCCTGCCACCGAGCTTGTTTTGCTGTTAATTTTGGTTGATCAAAGAAGTGGCAAGTGGCGCTGTTATCCGTCTTCACTACGAACTGTGATCCTAAGAGATACTGTCTCCAGACTCAAAGGCAATGGACTACAGCCAGCATTTCTTTCTCGGAGACAGTGTATCTTCGTTCGGCATCGTTGAGCTTTCGACTTTCGTAAGCGATGGGGTGGCCTTCTTGAATAAGGACTCCACCGAGAGCAAAGTTGGAAGCATCGGTTTCTACTTCAAATGGCTTTGTGACGTCTACCAACCCGAGGACAGGACCCCTCGTCNGAAACTCCCACAATAGGCAAGGCCTCGGAGTTGACAGCTTTCATTTTCCCCGGGTCTTTTCCTATGGTGAGTCCCAATCTTCTGGCTTCTTGATCGGCAATGAAGTTGTGGGTTGCTCCAGAGTCTATTAGAGTGCTCTTGCTCGGTTGAGAGTTTATTGTGGCATCTACGAACATGAGCCCTTTCTCTATTACCTCCTTCGGTTCGACTTTCCGTTGAAGGGCTGACAAGAATTTGAGTGCGCCCATTCGGGGGTTGTCGTGATCTTCCTTCTTGTCTAGCAAAGTCTCGACCCTTGCTTCATTGCTCTCTTGAATGGACACTTGAAGTGCAGTGAGAGAGGCCCGATGAGGACAGTAGGATACCTTGTGGGGGCCTTTACACAGCATGCATTGCAAAGGTGTCGTCGAGTGGTTCCTTTGATGGTAAGGCCCTCGAGATGTCCCCGCTTGATTGTTCTGAGGAGGTCTATCCGTCCATCCATTCGGTATGTTGGGGCTTCCATTTCGCTGGCCTGGTGGTCTGTATGGTTTGCCCCCATTGTTTGGGGCTGGTGTCGCTCTTCTTTGGGATCCTGCTTCGTTCCCACAGTCTACAAGTCTCTCGGCGTAGGCCATTGCGGCAGCTAGGGTTTGGACCCTGTTCTCATGTATCTTTGTTTTGGCCCACGGCTGTAGACCATTTATAAAGAAGAACACCTTGTCCTTCTCTGCTATGCCCCTGATATCCAGCATCAGGGTTGAGAACTGTCTGACGTAGTCCCGTATGTTTCCAGTGTGTTT